TCCCTAGGCATCTACCTGTGAGCAGGGTCGGTGGCAGGGCACTGGGTTGAATGGGGCCTTGGTCTGAATCACTATCATCATTTTAATTTTCTTATGTTCTCTGTCTTGGGTTAGAGAGATAAACAGTTTGTGTCAATCGAAAGCAAGAGAAATATCCAAACTACCTATGGAGTATGGCTCATTCCATCAATGCTCATGAATGGCTGACAGCAACAGGGGAATTTTCTCCCAGTTTAGCCACAGCTACTTTTTTTCATTGCTAATTAGCAACTAAGTCCTTAAACAGAAAAAGGATTAATGGAGGGAAAAAAAACCCTTTCTTATTGCAAAGGAGGACCAGAGAGAGGGATATCAAATTCAGTGGGGGGGGCCAGATAATAAGAAACATTCCCAACCTGCAAAATTAAAGTATCAGAGAGTGTTTGGGCTATGGCAACACTTTACTGAGTGCTAATTAACTTCAAAGGAGGCGGGGGAAGCAGGAGAGGGAGAAGGAGGCTACAAGAAACTTTACTCTGTCCCACGCAGTTGCCCAAACAGCAAAAATAAATGGATTCCTGAAACTATGAAATTTGAATTTCATAAAGAACTCTCAGGAGAGCTCTGAAAAACTAATGGGTGCTCACAAGATTGCTAAGAAATTGCTGAATGTGGCTGCCGAAATCCTTATTATGGGCCTTGGCCAAAGACAAACATGAAAGGATTTTTTTAAATTTTGTAAAATTTTTAGAGATCATTCCAACAATGTTTGAGAGAAAGGTACTTTAGGATATATTAGGAATTAACACAGGAACTAATCCTGTAAACTTTTACAACCTTACTCAGAAATGGGGTGGGTGGGTGAGTGTCTGTCAATGTTACGTGGATAAATATTTAATGATTTTATGCTCTTCAAATTCATGAACTCCTCCAGGCTGAGACTACAGCTTTCATTTATCTAAAAACCACAATGCACACCTACAGGGTGGCAGTATTTTCCAGTTTTAAAAGCCTTTTACCAGTAGTAAAGTAAAACTTCCTCCCCCTTACACACCTGTAAAATATTTTAACATAGGTGTCTACCCATGTGATGCATCATTAGTGCGTTCTCTGAAGTCCTTCCTCCACAAAATATACTCCCTTTTTAATGCTGTTTTTATATTCAGGTAGACCTTTCAAATGTTGTTAACATTGATAATATACGCGGTAACAGTACGTATTGGGAAGGACAAGAATATTTTGTGCCCCAAGAGAAAAATCAGCCGTTTGCTTTACACGTTATGCTCACTCTTTACATTAAACCTCCAAAAGAGACCAAGATAATTGCGAGTCCGGGAGCTATGTCAAAACCTGGGTGGGAATCCAGAAGTGTTTCTGACGCTCCTTGTCAGGATAAGACCGAGCATGTGTTGGCTCCCTCCCAGGCACAAAGAAAGCCCTGGACGCGCGGGTCAGGCAAGAGCCATCACTCGCTCTCACCAGGCTCCGGATAGCAGGAGATAAGGCTAGGAAGGA